CATTTTTAATGATACCTGACGCTGCAGATAATTTCGTCACGACATTCCAGGCAATATTAATTTCAGACGCTTAAGCTAAAATCAAAGGATTATTTCGATCAGAGTCAACGGTGGTATAAAAACTAGCCGAAGTAACAACCAGCCGAAAACAAGTAAGAATAATTTAAAAGTTATTTCACAATTATGAAACAGTTACGAAAGTTTTGCAAATTCATTCATATGATGTAACTCATTCATATGATTGTTTTATCGTAGATTTACTCACATCGATAACCGCAATCGTATCAACAGACATTCAACTATATCTAGCTGATTTTAGTTTTGGTGATTGTTACGAGTCTGCGTATTTATAAAATGAATGCAATGACCTTCCGTTCCAAAAACCAAGAGCCGTCAAAAATTGGTAGATTCTTGTCCATCAACCGTTTTTTTCCTATTTTCATCTGTATGATTGATTGTTAACGAATTGCAACGCGAGTTTTGCAAACGAATGGTTTTGGCTGCAATTTGTGAAATAAAATTACGCAACGAATACCGCTTGCTTGCAAGCAGGATCGCCTACATGAAAATAATCGAGCATAAGCGTTTTATTGCCGTTTTTTGTTTAATTTTTCTTCATTATTTTGTTAATCAAGAAACACAGGCTGCCTTTCGCAGAAATTAGGGATGTATTGCGACTTCCCGTGACGTTCACGCTGTGTGATTATTCCAAAGGCAATCACTGCATGCTTCCGAGCAAGAGGTAGAATCTATTGACGGTGACAAATCGAAAGAGCAGATGTCTTTTCACGTTTTTTTTTTCGTATTCCGGTGATTTGAGAAATTCCAGTTGAAACGTTCAGCTGATTTATCGTTTTTCTTTGAAATTCTAAAATTAGCTCAAACTTCTGCAAGTCAAATAAGAAAAATCGTGCTCAAAAGACTGTTCTTTTTCTTGAGTGCGGTCAGATAAGTTGTTAGATTTTTCATTCAAATTTGGTATAGATATTGAATTTATTTCTGTGTTCAGCTCTTGTTAAAAAAAGTCCGAGAAATATTCATATCAAATCGTGTTCTTTGACATTTTACTACCCTCGTCATTTTATCCGTCTGCGGATGTTAACGCCCCTCTCGGGCAGGGTTTGTTCCCGTGCCCATGAAATTCGACACTCGATCCACAGGGTCGCCACTTTGGCACTGCTTGATGGCATCCCATTTGGCCCACCAGCCGTACAAAGCACCTTCGTGGTGTCATTATAAATTAATTTTGAGGGAGAGTGCGCGACGAAAAGCGCAATATTTTGGTTTAAGCCTCCCACACACCCAAAATTGCATGAATTTTGGCTCAATTTTCCAAAGATTGCCTGCTCTTCCTTTTTTGCGTTTCTCAAGAGCTCAGTAAATGCATTTGGTCGATTTAAAAAACGGTCGACAAAACGTTTGATATTGTTTTCAAAGTTCGCGCTCCCCTCGTGAAAACACTAAATCATCCCCTGGTTTTGTTCCCGCCTTCTTTCACCTCTTATTTTTTAACAACTCTCGTGGGACCCCGCTATCTTTTAACCCGATTTTTGTTACGATATATTCACGGGGTAATGTGAAGGAACTATGGATTAGCTTGTTTGTTCGCCCAAATTTATGTGCCTCTCATATTAAAGCCCTATTGATTGGGTGAAATTTGGATTCCAAAAAAAACATCAAAAAGTTTGTTAGTGTCAAGAAAAATTGGCATGAATTTTTCCGCTTTTCAGAATAATGAAAAAATTTACTAATTAAACAAGATTAATTAGTGATTGAGCTCTCAATTAAATTCTCCTGCAACTTACACATAATTACACATAAGTTCAGCTATTATATCGTCTCAGGTCTCTCAGGGGAGGGGGAGGGGGAGGGGGAGGAGTATTGAAAGATGGAGGAATTGAAGTTAGAAGTGTTAAGCCAGGTGAGGTGACATGCTTGGGGGTACATAGGAGGAGGGTTGTTCAATTTTTTAAGGGAAGAAATTTTCAAACTGCTGATTTTAATGTTGAATGATTAAGCGGAAGGCTACTTTATGTACTCTTCTGTATTTCCCTTTTTTATGATTGTCTAATGGATGTGACTTCACTCGTGAAATACCATTAAGCTGAAAACACAATTTTGAGCACAGCTACTTTTCTTCTTTCACTTCACTCGAGCGTCTTTCTCTTCTCTAAAATCTATATGTAAATATGCTTTTGGAATCGCATCAATTATTCAAAAATCCCCTGCAAACAGTTTTTTTACCACAGTTTCATTTCATTTGAAATCTGAACGGAATCGTAAGTTATCTAATAATTTCACATTTGTCTCATTTTTGCTTACATTTTTCGTCGTCTAATTTTTTGTAACAAAAAATTCTAATTTTAAAAATTAACATTAATTTGAAAGAATAGTTTTTAACTTCTTTGCGGCATTTACAAAATTCGACAATGAGCTAAGAGCTGAGTTTGAAGGATATCAATTTTCGTTTGCCGGCAAGTCTTCCTAAAAGTCATTAAAACTCATTTATTAAATCAGGGAGACTGTTTTTATTAAATAAGAGGAAGAATATTTTCTTCTCCATTCCTGATCTCTCATTAAATGTCACTCAGATGAACCGACACATGAGAAATAACTCTGATTTAAGCCAGCGTCCCGTTGGATCTACCTGACGCTGATTTATTTATCAGAAAAAAGAACGTGAATGATTTTGTGTAACAACGGGAAAAAATTAAAGGGGACTTTTATGGAGATTGAAGAGCAAGAAAATTGGTATATCTCATGGGCACCATTGATCTGATTTTGTTTGATTGTTTGTTTATCTATCCATCAATGACGCTGCATTTGAGTGATAAATATTTCAGCTCCCAGCTGTTAGACGCACTTGCAAAAATACTTCATTCATCAATCACCCCTTTTCGTCCCTATGGTAGAGAACTAAGCAAAAGAAAACAGCAATTTAGGACTGACATTTAAAAAATCAATTTCAGTATCGTAAAAACTTTATAGACCTGATGGCATCAAATTTAGATATTTTATTTTGAGTCGTTTTTGATACTGGTGGTACGAGATGTTTAAATTTCGACACATACTGCATACTTTCATACAGGGGCGATGAATTTAATTCCCTGTACAGATATTGAAATTGAAATGCATGAGAGATAGGAGCGGAAGTCGACATGTAGAATAAAACAATAGCTTTTTTGTGGTTCAGTGGTAAGTTAATTGACGTACTCAAAAATTTGCCCGTTCTGTTTTTAGATAGTTTTATACTTTTGATTGTAATACTGTAACATTTATTCAAAAAACGACCTTCTTTTATTTTAATTAGCATTCTGGGTAGAGGCATTATTTATTCGCAGCCGTAAGTACGTTCTTTGAAAATTAATAAGCATTTCAATGAGTAAGTCCCTAAAAAGGTTTTCATAAACTATGCATAGACTATACCAAATTATTCACACAGTCCGTACATTTGCAGGTGTCAGTTTTTGATTTCAAAAAATAAATTAAAATTACTCGTATCGGCACGATAAGCCCTCAATATGCCGACCGCTTTTAAGGAAACTTTTTAAGATGATCATATGAATAGTAATCAATTCAAACAAAAAGAAAAAAATTTCCAAATGTTTTTGGTTTTACAATCCGCATTTATTTGCCGTTTATGCTAGGTGTAGAAAAAAGGGGGAAAACTTGCGCCTTTATTTAAAAAAAGTGGCCAAGCCAGCAAGTTTCAAGCCCCCCATGCAAAAAACGATCGCAGATGAAATATTCTTTCAGATTATTTCAGACTATATAAATAAAACTTAAAAAAAATTTTAAGTTAAAGAATCTGAAAAATCCCCAACAAGAATTTCCTTACTTTGGTCAAAAGTCGGAACAAACAATTTTTGAAATGACAAGTTTACTTTCATCTGTCGGTTCAGAAGCATATTCACTGTGGGTTGAAAACTGTTGATAGCGGGTTCAACAAAAAGTGGTTGATAACAGGTGCAAAGTCTTCCGGTACGGGCGGGTTTTGCCTTCTTGCAACATTTCATAAATAAGTCTGTCACATTTCAAAGTCCGTTCAAAAATATTCGGAGAATGAACAGAACTTTAGGTTTTTATTCATATTTTTCAACCATTTCACGGATAATCACTTCCATTCAAATTTCCGCTCAGAATCATCGGCCGACTTTCTGATTTTGCAGTTTTCAACGTGTAAATTGTCTTTTTGAGAACTTCTTCGAAAAACATTATTTTTTCTTTTGATGCTATGCTGGGTAGAATTTGAGGTAGAATATGGGTTTATTTTCTTGTTTTTTTTTTCATGTTTTTGCTTTTTTGCTGCTAACTATGACTGTTTTGCTGCCAACACTCTTTTTCCAATTTTGTTTCTCATTTGCTTAAGCGTCTTTACTTTACACGCAAGAGGTATAATAGAAAATCATTAAAATGTTCGGAAAACTCTATGGGCCGTAGATCTATCTAACGTTTTTCCCCCAATGAGCTGTTTTTCAAAAATAACTAGGACTGGAATGTATCAGATTTTTAATCAAAACTATTCGTGAATAGAAACGTAGTAACAGGAAAGTATTACATCGGATAAACCTATCTTGAAAAAAAAGCGCGCAGAGATGGGTAATTTTTCTGATTTTCAATTTTATTTTGTTGTTAATTTTATAAAAATTACTTTCATTGGCTTTCTGTCTAATACTTGTACGATATTTAACTTTTTTAGACTTTTTGTGATTGTGGTTATAAGTTTGTTTCTGCGTATTTCCCCACGTTCCAGGTTGAGTTATTTTATTGAGTGAAGCTATTCTTTTTCTACACAAGTTCGGTTTGCTTTGCTCCTATAACTTTTTAGTAATACCACTATTGCAACCTAAACAAGTCAAGCTTTGATAATAATGAAGCTAGAGGTGCATTGAGAGCGCGTCCCGTGTCCCTCTCAAACTATTCATTGCAATGGCAGGGGATCGAACGCGTGATTCGACGATCTATGAGAGAACGCCTTACCACTATGTTAAATGTCTCTTTATGTCATCAACTGCAGCCAAACTTCTCAAAAATCGGTTGGTGTTTGATGCTGACTGTATTCAAGTACGTACTATTATTTTTTCTAAGAAACTCTTAAAAAATTTTGATCTTATTTTTCGTGTTGGCATTCTAAAAGAAAAAGCTAATTTGAGCTTTTTCTCAATTGAAAAAAGAACATTTACAAAAATTTTTTTTTCAGTTTTTTTAATTAAAAACAAATCTAAAAGAATTATAGCTGCTCATGGTTACTGGGCATACAACCAAATTACCTAACATAAAAGCGAAAACAATTATACAGTTTCATTTAATTGCTGGCTTATCTCATTCCTTGCAAAAGATTTTTTTTAGCTGTTTTTTGTCAAAAAATTTCCTGAACGCAAATTATAAGTCGAATTTTTGCTACAAGTTTCCATCTATAAAAGTAAAAAAAGAAAATCCATCCCTTTAAACCATTGATTCTAATTGAGCTTGGTTAAAATTTCAATAGTTCAGCGTTCAATAGTTATCCTAAAAAACTTGAACCAATAGAGAATTTAGACGTTTAAATTACTATGACATGAAAGAGATAGTTTTTCTCAATTGAAAAAAAAAACACTGAAAATTACTGCTTGGATTGTTTTTTTTTGCTATGCAAATTTCCGAACTTCTAATTAAGGGTTTTTGACATTTTTTAAACTGTTTTCAATGTATTCTAAAATATCTTTATGTGTGATCGTTTGGTATAAAGATAAGATGCAATTATTCTGCAAAAATTCACGCTCTATATGTTGGATTAAAATTTTTTGCAAATTAACATTCTGCCCGGGTTGACCAAAAATGCTAGTCATACAATTTTCTTATATAGAAAACGCTAGTCATAGAATTTTCAGAAAATAGCATGAAAGGTCTATGATTAGTGATATATCATAAATGGAAATTGTATGACTAGTCTTTTCTCATAAACAAAGAAAATGTTTTTTTTGTTTTGAATTAAATTCTTCAAACGTTTGGAATGTGTTCGTGACAAATGTCAAAAACAGAGTCACCAAATCTTTGTTCGTCTTGCATTTACAATGATTTAGAAACAACCTGAATTGTATAAGAGTTTTTTTTTACACAAATCAAACAGTGAAATTATCATACTTTTAAATGTTGGCAAAAAAAATTCAAAGATGATTATTCTCAAAATTCGAAATTCTAATATATCAGACATTGATAGCAGTTTTTAGCGTTTTTTGAAAAAAGGTATCCGGGGAAAGGAAAAAGTCTCATTTTTTGTGTATCCAGGACTACGTTAAGCACACAAAAAAAAAATTTGCATGCAAAAATAATTTCAAAGAAGTTTGTTTGAGTACAAAATTCGACTCGCGTTTAAAAAAAATTTTGGGGCAATTTCAAAAATTACTACATATGGAAGTTATATGATCCGCTTTTTTACAAAAAAAATTTCTTTTTTATTTAGTTCAATACACCGATTTTACGACAAAACAAGAAAAAACTCTCTGAAAATTTGATGAACACATTTTAGCAAAATGTGTGAAATTTGTATGATTTTTTTTTCATATACTTAGTTTATGGAATTGTATGACTAGCATTTTTGGTCTGTAGAGGTTAACTCGTATGAATTGAATTAAGGCCAGCAGTTTGGTCTTTTTAATACGAAAAAGACGCTATTTCCAGCTCTTTTTCACAATGGCGTGTGGAAAATGAAAAAAAAAACAAGAAATTTCATTACTATTTTCGTAAATACTTTTTTTATTTTTCTGGAGCAGTGTTTTGTCTTCAGCTTCAAAGGGCAGTAGCAACGTTCAAAGTCTTGCTCTGATATACGAGCAGCTTTTTCAAGACGTACAATATGTTTATTTCGTTTGATTTGCAACGCGTTGCTTCAACCCAGTGATAGTGTTAATAACAGTTTTGAGGGGTTCAACTTTTTAGAAATTTCATATCAGAAAACAATAGACAATATACAACGTTCAATCAAACATTTGATGGTAGTGTTTATTACAAATCACTGGGATACTATAGGCAAAAAAGTTTCAAGGATTTTTCTACAACTTCAGTTAATGAGAACACTAGAATTTTTTTTTTTTCGAAACATTTTCTGAAACAATTGATAGAAATCATCATCAGCTTTAAATGGAACCAAGACTGCTCGTATCAGGGCGAAGCCCTGATTGTTGCGACTGCCCATTAAGGTTTATGGAGCAGTAATATCATTAGAAAATTAAAAGTGATAAAACAAAATGAAAATTTTTTTTTCAAAATTTTTTTATTTTTTTAAATAAAAAATCATCCCCCACACGCCATATAAAGTACAAAAGGATAGATTTTGCTACTTGTAACAAATCAATTATGGCAAATAAGCTTCGTTAAAACAATTTGGAATGATTTTTAAGACGGATTAAATCTCCGCTTACGCGTTAATAGCGCGAAATATATCGCGCGTTAATTGTCCCAAATTGTCCAAAATGGCAATCTTTAAACCCCCATAACTTTACGAAAAGTGATCACAGGTGAAATATCTTTTCAAATTTGAGCTCAAGACAACAATATCTTTCGAAAGATAAAAAAAATTCCGTCAAAAATGGCTAGTTAAGTAGTCGAAATTTGTCTGAAGAAAAAAAACCCACCCCGAGCACAAATATTCCGTTACATTCGTATCGAAAGTCGGAACAAAAAGTAACACAAACACACTGAAACTTTTATTTCTTTTCGTCATGTGCATGTTGTTGTTCCGACTTTCGATACGAAAGTAACAGAATGTTTGTGCTCGGGGTGGGTTTTTTTTCTTCAGACAAAGTTCGACTTATTAACTAGCCATTTTTGACGGAATCTTTTTATATCATTCGAAAGGTATTGTCGTCCTGAGCTCAAATTTGAAAACATATTTCACCTATGACCACTTTTCGTAAAGTTATGGGGGTTTAGAGATTGCCATTTTGGACAATTTGGGACAATTAACGCGCGATATATTTCGCGCTATTAACGCGTAAGCGGAGATTTAATCCGTCTTAAAAATCATTCCAAATTGGTTTAACGAAGCTTATATGCCATAATTGATTTTTTAAAAGTAGCGAAATCTATCCTTTTGTACTTTATATGGCGTTTGGGGGGATGATTTTCATAAAAAATTTTAAATTTTAGAAAAAAAAATTTTTTCATTTTGTTTCATTTCATTGAATTTTTTAATGTTATTACTGCCCCATAAACCTCAAAGGGCAGTCGGGAAACTCAGGGCTTCGCCCTGATACGAGCAGTCTTGTTTCGCTATAGACTCAAATTTTAGAATTTATCATGTTTGAAACAATCAAAACAATTTTTAAATTTGAACCAGACTGCTCGTATCAGGGCGAACCCCTAAATGTTCCGACTGCCTTTTAAGGATTAGGGAGCAGCAGTAATAACATAAAAAAATGAAATGAAATGAAATAAAATGAATTTTTTTTTCAAAAATGTTTAATTTTTTTAAATAAAAAATCATCCCCCACACGCCATATAAAGTACAAAAGGATAGATTTCGCTACTTGTAACAAATCAATTATGGCAAATAAGCTTCGTTAAACCAATTTGGAATGATTTTTAAGACGGATTAAATCTCCGCTTACGCGTTAATAGCGCGAAATATATCACGCGTTAATTGTCCCAAATTGTCCAAAATGGCAATCTTTAAACCCCCATAACTTTACGAAAAGTGATCACAAGTGAAATATTTTTTCAAATTTGAGCTCAAGACAACAATATCTTTCGAAAGATAAAAAAAATTCCGTCAAAAATGGCTAGTTAAGTAGTCGAAATTTGTCTGAAGAAAAAAACCCACCCCGAGCACAAATATTCCGTTACATTCGTATCGAAAGTCGGAACAAAAAATAACGCAAACACAATGAAACTTTTGTTTCTTTTCGTCATGTGCATGTTGTTGTTCCGACTTTTCGATACGAAAGTAACGGATTGTTTGTGCTCGGGATGGGTTTTGTTTTCTTCAGACAAAGTTCGAGTTTTTAACTAGCCATTTTTGACGGAATCTTTTTATATCATTCGAAAGGTATTGTCGTCCTGAGCTCAAATTTGAAAAAATATTTCACCTGTGATCACTTGTCGAAAAGTTATGGGGGTTTAGAGATTGCCATTTTGTACAATTTGGGACAATTAACGCGCGATATATTTCGCGCTATCAACGCGTAAGCGGAGATTTAATCCGTCTTAAAAATCATTCGAAATTGGTTTAACGAAGCTTATATGCCATAATTGATTTTTTACAAGTAGCGAAATCTATCCTTTTGTACTTTATATGGCGTGTGGGGGGATGATTTTCATAAAAAATTTTAAATTTTAGAAAAAATTTTTTTTTCATTTTGTTTTATTTCATTGAATTTTTTAGTGTTATTACTGCTCCATAAACCTCAAAGGGCAGTCGGGAAACTCAGGGCTTCGCCCTGATACGAGCAGTCTTGTTTCGCTATAGACTCAAATTTTAGAATTTATCATGTTTGAAACAATCAAAACAATTTTTAAATTTGAACCAGACTGCTCGTATTAGGGCGAAGCCCTGAATGTTCCGACTGCCTTTTAAGGATTATGCAGCAGCAGTAATAACATAAAAAAATTAATTGAAATGAAATAAAATAAAAAATTTTTTTTCAAAAATTTTTAATTTTTTTTAAATAAAAAATCATCCCCCACACGCCATATAAATTACAAAAGGATAGATTTCGCTACTTGTAACAAATCAATTATGGCAAATAAGCTTCGTTAAACCAATTTGGAATTTTTTTTATGACGGATTAAATCTCCGCTTACTTGTTAATAGCGCGAAATATATCGCGCGTTTATTGTCCCAAATTGTCCAAAATGGCAATCTTTAAACCCCCATAACTTTACGAAAAGTGATCACAAGTGAAATATTTTTTCAAATTTGAGCTCAAGACAACAATATCTTTCGAAAGATAAAAAAAATTCCGTCAAAAATGGCTAGTTAAGTAGTCGAAATTTGTCTGAAGAAAAAAACCCACCCCGAGCACAAATATTCCGTTACATTCGTATCGAAAGTCGGAACAAAAAATAACGCAAACACAATAAAACTT